CTCCCCCCCCCCTTCCTTTCCCCTTTTCCTCGACCATCTCTCGCTGCCACGCGCGTTTGCAGTAATCAACAGCGAGGTGGCCTACCTAGGCTACCAGGCATCGGAATCGTATGGCATCAGCTACAAGGTATGACCTACTTGAACTCGATGGAAAAAGGCTTTTCGGATGCTCGTGGAGGTTCGCTGAGAGATGGGTTGCTGCTTGACTGTGTTTTTTGTTTCTTCTCTGTCTGTTGGTGACTTCGGTTGGTCGATGCTCTGGTTGGGGGGCAGACCAAGGAGCAAATGATAACAGTAGCCATCAAGAGCAAGCGCCAACAGCAGAACAACGGCATCATCCTTCAACAGCAAGCAGCAACAACAGTTAACACCAAGAACGAGCGACAAGAGAGCCATCAAAAGAGCAAGCGTAACGACCAATCGAGCAACCAACAAGAACGACTACCAAGAGCACACGACACAGTGCAAAGAAAGCACAAACACTGAGCGACATCTCTTCATGCTCACAGGTGCGAGGGTACTGCACGGACGAGTCCAACCCGGAGGTGTTCGACCGCGTTAACGTTAGGGGAGACATCCGCTTCTCTGACATTCACCACAACTGGTTCGGACAGTGAGTATTGTATTTTGGACTTGTTGTTTTCGTTGCTCTGGATTTGTGTCAGCCCGCTGGTATTTTGTACAACAGTATTTTGGTGGCCTTCGTGCCGATTCAGGCAGACAGTGCGCTGCCGTTGGGGCTGCGTTGCGTTTTTTTTTTTCATGACGTGCACATGAATATACCGTGCAGATGCATGCCCGTGCACGTCAATCTCCAACTCTTGCTAAACCGCCCATGGGACACCCATGGGTCACCCATGGTCCGCCCAAGGGCACTTGAACCTGGAACTTCGCCACCCGCATACAGTGTCACCTAGAACTTAACCGCCTTCACATCAACCTAGAACATAACCGCCTTCACATCAACCTAGAACTTAACCCCCTTCACATCAACCTAGAACATAACCGCCTTCACATCAACCTAGAACTCAACCCCCTTCACATCAACCTAGAACATAACCGCCTTCACATCAATCTAGAACATAACCCCCTTCACATCAACCTAGAACTTAACCGCCTTCACATCAACCTAGAACATAACCGCCTTCACATCAACCTAGAACTCAACCCCCTTCACATCAACCTAGAACATAACCCCCTTCACATCAACCTAGAACTTAACCGCCTTCACATCAACCTAGAACGTAACCGCCTTCACACCAACCTAGAACTTAGCCACCAGCGCCAACCTAGCACGCATCTTGTCAGCTTGGGGTTAGGGTTAGGGTTAGCGTTAGCGTTAGGGATATTAGCCGCTATCGTTCCCGTTCCAAGCATACTCCATTGTTTATGAGTACACTGGTTCGGTTGAAGGGCTCTCATTGGCCACCCATTGGCAGGCCCATGGGAGTCCCATGGGTCATTTGGGAAAACTTAGGGTTAGTGTGGGAGACCCGTGCACGTGCGGTAAGAAATCGTGAGGTGGGAGTTACTACGTGTTGCGCGCATTGACGTGGTTGTGTCGTCTTTTTTATTTTTTTGCCGTGTTCTTTGCAGGTGCCTGCTTCCTAGCTTGGCTCTTGTAGGTAGTTTTTTTCGATTTATTACGTTTTCCCCACCAAGTCTTTCGTATCGCGTTC